CACACACACACACACACACACACGTAATGACATACACATACCAGTTGCTGAAAAAATGATTTATCCCTATGCCTTTTCACCTAAAAATCTTCTTTCAGGATGGGATTACTCACTCCTGGAGATGCTTCAAGGCTTACCTTCTTCAGTTGTGATAGAAGGGAAAGACTGGAAATTTCTCACTTGTCTCTTTGTAAAGCTTAAACTATAATCCTGTTATTTGACCTACAAAGTTCTGTGTGATGGGAGGAGCACTGAGTGGGGAGTGGGGAGATCAGAGTTCTCTTAGCCTTACCCCTCAGTAGCTGTATGATCCTTAGGCAAGTGATTTAACCTTTTCGGGGTCTAAACTAATTTCCTTGTGCATAAAATTAGGAGGTTGTACTGAATGTTCTCTAAAGTGTGAGCCCTGATAACCTAAAATTTTATTGTAATGAGCTTTCTTAGCAAGGATGAAAATAGTCTCCCTTAAGAATTTATGACCAAGGGGCAGTTAGGTGGCACAGAGTACCAACGCTGGAGTCAGGAGGACCTGAGTCCAAATCCAGCCCCAGACACATAACACTTACTAACTGTGTGACTCTGGGCAAGTCACTTAACCCCAGTTGCCTCATACACAAAAAAAGAATTTATGACCAAACAAGAGATAGAGAACATTGTGAAATGCAAAATGGATAATTTTGATTACATTAAATTGAAAAGTTTTTGCACAAACAAAGCTAATGAAACAAAGATTAGGAGAGAAGCAGACAACTGGGAAATAATTTTTACAACCAGTGTCTCTGATAAAGGCTTCATTTCTAAAATATATGGAGAACTGAGTCAAATTTATAAGACTGCAAGTCCTTCCCAAATTGATAAATGGTCAAAGGATATGAACAGGCAGTTTTCAGAGAAAGAAATAAAGCTATCTGTAGTCATATGAAAAAATGCTCTAAATCACTATAGATTAGAGAAATGCAAATCAAAATGATTGTGAAGTACCACATCATACATGGCTAACATGACAAAACAGGACAATGATAAATGTTGGAGAAGATGTGGGAAAATTGGAACACTAATACACGGTGGAGTTGTGAACTGATCTAACCATTCTGGAGAGTAATTTGGAACTATGCCTAAAGGACTATAGAATTGTGCATACCCTTTGACCCAGCAGAAGCACTTCTAGGGTT